TTCTAAGTTCCCCATCCTATACGTTAAGAACCCTTTATTTGGGAAAGTTGCCCTGATCCTTATCACCTTAAGCGCACTATCAGGGGCCTCTCAGAAATGTGTAAAGGCGACATTACACGCGAGTTTGCTGTCAAAAGCTTATGTCCATTTCTCAGTAGAGTGGATCAGGTTAGTCGCCCATATCCCGCCTTTTGAAAACTATATGAGGGGTTGAATAACAGGTTGACCATTTTCAAAACCATTATGTCAGAACGTCTATTATCTTTCTTAATACTTTTCCGTGGAGATACATCAGATTAATGTGTCCGTAGCGCTCGAGCATCGTTTTCACTGACGACGGTACGATGTGAGTGTTTTAAATCCTAGGGAATAATTTCACCGCCAAGGGAGTTTTGTGGACGAACTGACGTAGGCCTAAAACTTTCTGTACGTTACTTACATTGCATGAATGGAAATGCATCTGAAGAAGGTGATTTCGGGGCTTTCAGATCTTCTGTTTATTCTTTTGAAAAAATTCATTCCTTAGGATAAGAGAGTGAAGGCTCTCCCGTACCTGAAATAAAAAGTTTACCTCTTTTCTGTGAACAGACTTGGTAATGAAAAATGCGTTTAAGCTTCTACTTCGACAGTACGATTATCTTTCCCGACGATGTCCATCGTGTGCTCCACGGCAGGATGGGAGCTTGATGGAGACCTGCCATGAGTTAATTCAAATTAGTAGTAGATTTGCGCAGCATCTGCCGCATTTTCTCCTCTCCCCCACCTAGGTCTGGTGTCAAGACAGAGTCAAAAAGACCGAAGGCTGGAGAGGCCTCAGATGACTTGCACAGCGAGAACCTGCATCTAGACGTACCAACACACCCCCCGTTTACAGGTGACCAAGATTTACACAACGAGAAAAGAAAAAGCAGGGTGGCTCAACCGGCGTGGTGTGGGCCTGCACCTGGGCTTGCCGCCCTGCCCCTAGTGTTGGCATTTGTTATGACTGCGCACCTCCTTGTTAATCCTGTCGAATCCCGATCTAGCTCCCGTGTTTGTCCAGCGCATTTACCGCGTGACCCGTTTGAGGGGCACAGCGTTCACATTTACGGCAATTCAAACACGCCCACCCACACTATATATGCTGAAGACAGCACACGGACTTGTCCTCAGCATGGTTACAAGTTCCAATTTCTGATCTTAGTGGTCAAGCACCGAAGCCATGAAACGAGGACGCGGCGAAGAGGCACGGTAACTATTTATCCATTGTTCCACCGCCACGGCCAACCACTTTGCCAACAGAACTTGCTACAAGGAGCAGATCACAGGGGCTGGCTCATCCGTGCGGTGTTCGTGGTTCCGATGCGTAGTGCAACGTATAGAACGCATATTATAGTAGCTGGATAATTTGGCCGCATGAAGGCCGTTCCCTTCTACCAGATACATAGTTGCACCGTCTAATAAAACTCGTCCCTGTGGCTGCCCTATTCTCTTGGATTCAACTTAAATCACCGTCAAATGCGGAGATATCTGCCTGCAAAATAATTAGAATACCATTGGCCTGGGTGGACACCCGGAAATCCATCATAACAGTAGTGTAGAGGCAATGCCATGGGCCCCGGTCGACAGCCGTAAGGTCCGCCTTACCTGTCCGTGTATTAGCGTCACATGAATATCCCAGAAAACACAAAACATCAACCGTCATTAATGCGATAAGGTTTTCCTTCGTCGTAAATTAGTTGGCGACGCAAAGTATGTGTAGAGGTTCGGGTATGGCACAATTCAGGCGGTGTCTTCGTACCGCGTCAATCATAGTATCCGATCCTATCTGTGGTAGGCTTGATTCGGATAGGTTATCGCACTTAGAAGATAGCAGAGCGAGGTCGTCCCAGCTCGGATTCGTCGTCTGGCTTCCACTCTATAAACAGCCTGACAGACTTCTAACGGTAGCACAAAACGATAACCGTCGCCGCTGGGAAGGTTTTGACTGACGTTTAAAACTGCTTTTGAACGACTACAAGCCCAGAATATCGGACGTTCACGCCCAGCTGCAGCCAGCGTATGAGGAGATAAAAAAACTGGCACTAACGATGGCATTTTGCATTTCTGGCTCACTGGCATCGACTTCAGGCAGTTCTGTTCCCACGGACAAGGGCTCAATGACTTATGGATCATGATCGATCTGGAGAGCAGTCCAAACTTCCCGGGTTGGTGAGAAGTTGCACATGTTGAGTCTGTTCCGTGGTCAACGTGGTCATTAGTTTTCCAGCCGCTGAAAAATTTCGAAAATTTGGGCATAGATGAATTCGAGGCGCGAGAGGCTGGCGTGGAGGGAGTTCAGTCAGTTGAGAAGGTAGACCTGCGCCTCGGCGCTCAGCGCAGACGGCGTCGGTGACGCAGCGGTGTCAGTGATTTTTCGATATGGCGGGAAGACAAACTCACCGATGTGTCCAACCACGGTCTGAAAGCGCTCCAACAGGAGGTTTCAGTACGACTGCTGCGATCCGCTCAAACACAAACATCAAAATCCTCTTCACTTTGTAATACAGGAACTCGGTCCCTGAGTTTTACACTCCTTCGGGGATGATTTAATAACTATTTGTAGTCTTCGCTTGCTCATTGGAGCAAGGTGCTCTCCAAATGTGATAATGATTTTTTTCGTTTCATTGCACTGTAACTCGTGTTTGGTGAAAGAAGTCACCTGCTCTCTATTACATTAAGGTCACAAATGCTTCTCCTCATTGTTGTTGTCTCTTTTCCATTTACTTGTTAGCCATTACGTTATCCCATTTTGGGTGCTTTTTACGAAGGCCGTTTTGCCCGAGATGGCTGCCGGATTTAAATTTTGTTTTTTTCCAAACGAAAAATTTCTAATTTACTATGTCGAACATGGACAGACTGACTTTTTATTTAAAAATCCCAGCAATACTACAAATCGTTTCACAATGACTTTTAAATTTACGAGGAGATAATTTGTTGGGTAAGCCATTGGGCAATGTATGAAGAACACTCCATGGATGTTCATTCTGAGAGTCGTAAAGAACTTAATCGGAGTAAAAACCTAAAACTAGGTAGTCATCGGAAGTTATTGAAGCTTGGTTACAGCAAAACTCGCCTAAACACCTCCCAAACCTCGCTGATATTGAGCTTGAAAACGGTGTCCAAGATTAACTAAAACAATTCTGTCTTGCATTTCTCCGGATACCCGTTTGCAAGAAAAACGTTCTTTAGGAAAGTGAGTTCCTCATTATTCGTATCTTGAGTTGATGGAATTCTTCTCGCCATATGGATCGCCTTTCTTGTTATCTGCGACAGTTCGACCGTCGATTTCGACGATGTCCACCGTGTGCCCCACAGACTGCATTGTGGGGGCAGGGACGGTGACTTGCGCAGGGGTTTATAGTGCGGGTAGACTTGCGCTGCATCTACAGTTACTACGTTTTGGCATATCAGGTTAAACGTATCGGGGTCAGCATTGGCAAACAACGCTTTCACTAGAGGCCTGAAAATCTTTGCCTGCATCGGTTCTATGAAATCAGCTTGACTTAGGGAAATAAGCAGGCGAAACCCCTCGTCCATGGAAAGGGTCCTAACTACTAGCATCCTGCTCTAAGCAATTTGGTGGCTTCGTTAAATGTGCTCCATATGTAAAGGGCTTAAAGCGACGACGCAGGCACTTAATAGAACTTGAGGCCTCATTCTTAATCAGAAATGCTACCACCTGAATATTCATTCACCAGAGCAGATACACCCAAATGTAGTCTCTCGTTTGGATAAGAAAATAGACGAACACAGAAACCCCAATGTCAGGGCTTTTGATAATCTAGCGGTACTAGGCCGAACTTTGGCAAGAGTAGGCATTTCAGCTGCAAAACAAACTAAACCGTGTGAGATTAGCGCATTTAATTTATTCATTTAAACCTATCGGGGCTTTAGGAAGAAACAGCCTTCGAGCGAAAATACGCAGACAAGAAAATTGCGATGAGTGTTTTTGCGAATATTATCGACCCTAAATTAATGAAACGGATTGGATGTACAGGTAACCCAGCGGAACTGCTAGGCTAAAGTCTACCGTTTGCTGCTGGCAGAGGTTAGTAATAAATCATAAATCAACAGGGTACATAGTCTACTGGCAACCATCTATAAGCAGCATGTCACTCCCCGAATAATTTTAGGCCGACCAAAAACAATGATAGTAGGAAACAACTCAAAGACACTTAAAACAGCAAAGCCAATCACACTGAGCAATTTACAGCCAAGTCATCCGGTCAATCTCCAGCGCTGCTTCTTTTCTCGGCGTTATCTAACTCGAACGGTATTCCTGGAAGAACCATCATTCACGATCATTGTCAATTTATCAAAATCCCCTACAATGCTAGTTCTGTTGCAGGAATGCGCATGCACGTAGTCTCCGAAGTGAAATTAAAAAGTCAAAACAGATTCCAGCGTAATAACCCTCGTGTAGAGGACATGATCACTGCCAGGACGAACACAAAGGTATTTGTCTCGGAGCTGACTAATGACGGTTACGTTATTGTATGGACTGACCTTCAAGGTAGCGGCCCCGAGGAGACCAATTCACCTACGTTTGCCCTCGTATAAATCTCACTAGCTTAAACTTCCACAGGTTTCCCAGGTCGTGGTTACTGCAAACCTTAATACTGTCCCACCCAGTAGTTAGTCAGTCAGTCAGTCAGTCAGTGTATTTGAGGGAAATAGGCTTACGCCTTTGAACTCCCTATTTGTACATAAAAAATCGATAAGCAAGCAAAAATGTGAAGAAATTACAGCATTAAGTGAATGCATACATTGATTCACATATGTCACTAGTCACATGGTTAAAAAGTCACATAGTCCGCTTGTTGCTGCAGCATACATCTGTCAAGGCGACATTTAAATGTCTCCACAGATTGAGACATAACAACCGTCTCGGGCAGGTTATTCCACGGTTCCACGACACGGTTGGAGAAGAAATATTTTCTCACATTCAGTCTACCCTGTGGCACACGTAGCTTGAAGGGATGTCCCCGGAGGTGAGTTGTAGTGGCGAGTTGGAAAAAGTCATCGCACCGAAGGGCGCAATCCAAGCCGCGCACGATACGGAAAGTTTGTATCATGTCTCCGCGCAACTGCCTATAACTCAGAGGATAGAGATTAAGGTTAGTTAAGCGGATCTCGTATGGCAGTGCACTTTGGCCTCCTACTAATTTTGTGGCTCGCCTCTGCACCCTTTCGAGCAGATCGTAATCCTGATGCGTCCACGGTCTCCAGGCCTGAATTGCATATTCGAGATGGGGCCTTATAAACGTGCCGAAGACTTTGGTGAAGCAGTCTTCATCGAAAACTACGAATGCCCGCTTGATGGCATATAGCATTGACGTTGCGGCCTTGGCCGCCTTACAGCACTGTGTAGAAGGCTTTAGGCTGTCTGCAACCCAAACTCCGAGATCTTTCTGAGTTTCTGCTTCTCGGAGTGGCATTCCGTTCAGATGGTATTGCCGCGTACTAGGGGTCTGATTTCCGAGGCGCAGAATGGTGCATTTGTTCAAATTGAAAGACAAGAGCCATCTGCGGGACCACTCATCCAACCGACAAAGATTTTCTTGGAAGTTGGTCTCATCGGCAGCATTCTGGATGACTTTCCAGATTTTTATGTCATCCGCAAACATGGCACAATCACAGTCCAACCCATCTACGCAATCATTGATGAACAAGAGAAAGAGAGTTGGTCCGAGCACCGAGCCTTGTGGGACCCCACTCTCTATGAATGTGCACCTTGATTGCTGTTGTTCTACGCAGACAATTTGGGAGCGGCCGACAAGGAAATTTTCGATCCATTTGAGAAGTTTGCCACCGATGCCCATAATTCTCAACTTGTGTAGGAGACGCTGGTGCGGAACACTGTCAAACGCCTTCCGAAAATCAATATAGGCAACATGCACGGTGTGTTTTGCGTCCAGTGCTCGTGTCCAACTTTGCATTGTGTATAGCAAGTTCGTAACACATTATCTTCCCCTACGGAAACCATATTGTGTATTGGACAAGAGGTTGTGGGTTTCCAAGTAAGCCATCAACTCCTTTTTGATGGTTTTCTCCATCATTTTGCAGCAGATTGATGTCAGACTGACGGGTCTGTAGTTTGTCGCCTGAGCACGACTACCGCTTTTGTAAAGGGGTGTAATGTGGGCCGTCTTCCAGTCTGTGGGAAGAATTCCAGCATCAAACGATTTTTGGCACAGAAAGGATAGTGGCTTGGCCAGCTGTTGGGCAAGCTCAAAGAGCAGCTTTGCTGGAATCTCGTCCGGACCGGGAGATTTACATTCCTTCAAGCTTTTCAGTTCTTCCAAAATCGCTTCTTCTCGAAACACAATATTTTCGATAGTGGAATCTCTCGTGTTCTCAGAATTAGATGGGGTAAAGTCCGCTTCTTTTGTGAAAACGGATCGGAAAAATTGAGAAATGTGCTCAGCCTTATTTGTACTGTCCGATATCTCCAAGCCGTCATCACCCCTCATAACAGGAATGGGATTCCTGTTACGTGTGCTTTTCCGCAAATAGCTGTAGAGCTGTAGAGTTCTATTTCCTTCTTATATAGTTGTCCATTTTGAAAGCACTTTGGTTTCTAGCCGCTGCTACTTCTCTTGCAAAAGCCACCTGAATCTGAAATTAATTTCTTTCCTGCGTCTTCTGTGGAATACTCTCCATCCTGCTTCGACTTGATGTTTATCACTGCCGTTCGATCCCTCGTCGAAGAGAATGGACCATTCTGCTGTATCCTTTAGTGTGCTCGTCAGCTCTAGTAAGCCCCTATCATCGAAAGCGCACGTGTATACCAAGTGATGAACATTCATACCATACGACCTTTGAAGTCTGGAGTTTAGTAGCTACTCTTCGGCTTCGAAAAAATTCCAGGTTAGCAAACGGTGACTGCTCTTACCAAACGAAACCTAATCGTTGTCACTTCCTCTGAACTCTCCAATTAAGTGAAAATGTTTAAAGTCGACTGACCACAGATTAATTAAAATACCCAACAAGGCGGTTTTATGGAAAAAAAGTCTGTATTGGTTTATAGCTGTCTCCCTGCAACTGTCCTTAAGATCACTCGTAGTTACCCGAAAAGGTAACATCAGGGTCTGTCGAAGTAAGTTAAACAGAAATGCCAGAATGGCTCGTGTGATTGAGCAGAAAAACGTAAAAGTGCGGTTCCACCGTTCCTCGTTTAAATTTACAACTAGGATCCAGGCATAATGACCACGCACTGTGAAGTAAATCAGCGAAATTCCTCGCGATAATATAATTTCAAAAAGGCTCAAATGTTTGGTGAATTATCATCAAATATCTGCTCATATTTCCCCTACTCCACTGGCAAAGGATTCATGCGGTCAACCAGCCAACTGGATGTGTGCGCTCTTAAACCGTACCGAACTTACAAAATTAGATTGTCCCGTTGTTCTTGCGGACGTATGTCCCTTCTATCTTTCCAATTCCTTAAGCGGATGTCTATGCTTAGAGCAAAGGTAGAACCTTATCGTGATTTGCCCTTATAACGGTACGTAAAACGTTCCTGCGACATAAATACCGTGCTTTTATCAGACGTAAGTGGAACGAAAGACTGGGACCACTAGAAAACGTAACGAATCGGTAGTATAACAAGAGATGGGGAGTTTCAATAAAAAGGACAGGCTGAAGTTGTCTCCTGAATGGATCCAGCATGCTGTTACCCACGACCCCTGATTCGGCTAGAGCTATTGCAAACGGCCCCCGACTGAGTCGTAGAATTGTCATCTGAAGTATTTTTGATTTTGCAAGAACCAGTCAAATGGAAGCCATCGGAAAAAATTGAACTTATAAGAACGTCATGCCAAACTTACAAATTCAGTAGATAAGGGTTGGTACTAAACTACTTTCATCCCCGGGCACCGCTGAACCATTGCATAGAGAAATGTCGAGCCTAATTAAGGCCAGAGTCACTGTACGATTACATCCAAAGACGACAATATGCTGAGGTTGAATTAAAAAGGAAAATTGGTTGGTGTAATGCATCCTCGGGAGACTGAAGTTGAAGAAGCGTATAACCTTGTGTGCACGGTACGGCTGGAGAGTAGTGGAGTTTAAGGCCACTTGGATGATTACCGTATGCGACCGTAAGTTTCGTAATTTAAGTGATCCGAGCTACAGCTCGATGCGGATCAAGGACAAGTAACTGGAGAAACTTGTGTATTTTACATACAAAAAAAACTCAAAATTCATACTAGAAGGGAACTATGCAGCATGAGACCCTTGTTAGCAATGACTTCTTTGATTCTGTCTGAACTTGGCGTGCGTGTTCCTGGTTTGGCCCTGTGAGATCTTGCTCCACTCTCTGGCAAGTGAGACATTTAGGGTCTCATTGCGATTGTGAGGCTTGTTCCAGGCCTCCTCCTCCTTCTCCTCCTCCTCATCCTCATCCTCATCCTCCTCCTCCTCCTCCTCGACGTACGCGTAAATGCTGTGGTCGAGGGGACTTAAGTCTGGTGGGGATGACGGCCACAGATCCTTAGGTCGGAAATAGGGCATGTGGTCTTTCAGCTACTTCTGTTTTTTTCCGTAACGTATGTGGAGGCGTACCATCTTGCTGGAAGATCACATTGTCGTTTGGAGTGCAATTGGGATCTATACAAGAATAGACATGCATCTGAAGAACATCCAGATACACGTCTGTGTTCACTTTGACTCCCGCCTTAATGATCACAGGGGGCATGACTTTGCAGCCTGAGGCAATCAGGCCAAAGACCATCACCGACGAAGGATGTTTGGTCTGAAACTTGCAGTTAACATTCTCAGGTGTCTCTTTGACATTCGGGGGGCTTATGGATCTGTTCGACCGTTGGACATTGAATCGACCGTAAAGAGTTTTTTGTCGGGATCGAGCGCCGTGTGGTCCTTTCTTGGGGAAGCTTAGAAATCCCTTAATTCTCTCCAGACTCTACGCTTTCACAGCCTCAAAAACGAGGGGCGTCTTGGTGCTAGCCTTTGACCTAGCCCTCAGGTCCTTTTTCACGATATTTCTGACCATGTGCCCTGGCACCTCAAGCCCCAAAGCCATCTTCCTCATGCTCCAGACTGGACTGCAACGAATACGATCCCGGACAGTCCTTATAAGACGGGGGTTCGAATATTTCCTATTTTTCCACTACCAGGCATATTGTTGATGCGGCTGAGCTTCTTATAACGGTCAATAATGGTGTAAACTGTTGACCTGGTCATTTCCCACTTGGAAGCGATATCTGTGGGCTAGAGGCCATTGAGACTGAGTTTACTAACTGCCTCACGTTTTTCATGGCAAAATATTTGAAAACTGCTTCCAAGAGATTATTATTGCATTGTTACTACGGTATTCTGAATAAAAAAGCATAAATTTCTATGCAAATATTTTCAAATAGTAATGGCGAAACTATTGGGAAAGTAAAAGTCGCATACGATAAGATTAAGAGCAGGGGAATATTGTAATTCCGGCCCAAGTAAGAAGAAGGAGTGCATCGGCAAGTGGAAGGTGGGTGCCCGGAGCATATAAAGGACGCACGGGGATAGTAAGATAAGGTCAGAAAACAATCAGTCAAAGTGGCTAGTGCAACTGCGCAATGGCCACATTGCTCGTAGTGTACCTATTCCCTCAACTCGCCTACACGTGTGAATAATTTACAGATATCTAATTTTCCGTGAATTGTACGAAATAGGTCGTCTTCCTAAACGAGAACTGCAAAATGCCCTGCCCACTTAATAAAATACAGCGATACAGTTCATCTGACTTAATGTAACGCTGTCAAGAAAAGTTGTCCTCGCCATTTGTGTGTATTGCACCGGTAAAGGAGAGAATTTTGGCTAGATCGCAGTTGATAGCCAGGAATGGGGAAGCGGACGGTGACGTTAACCCTTATCCTAACCTTAACCCTAACCCTAACCTCAATCTTAAACGGAAACCGTTAACCCTAACGGCAACCCTAACCCTAACCGTAATCGTAAACGTAACCGTAACTCTTAGACATAGCCGTAACTGAAAAACCTAACCGTAATACTGAAACCTAATCGTACGCTCAAACCCTAACCGTAATCCGAAAACCTAAGCCTGCAGGCATAACCCTAAACCGAAAATCGGAAACCATTAACCGGTACCCTAATCATATCCTCAAACGTAAAACGGAAGCCAAATGGGTCAGATGTGAGTATGGAGCCCCACAAAATAGCCCTAGTAAACAACCCCCTCCGCCACCTGTAATACGGGGCCTGGCTACCAACTGCGATCGAGCCGAAAATTGATCAACAAATCCAACGTATAAGCGCGGATGATGTGATGTTCGGATATACACACGTCAAGAGAATCAACTCGTTCAGAACCGGAGCTAACATTGTCAGAAATCGTCGAACCATGGGAAAAATATTGAACCCTGTCGATCGGTCTGGCGCAATCGTTGGAGTTTACTTGAAGTCTGCAACCGGATAGTACGCCATTTGCAGAAACGTGTGTGCAAACACCCTCTTATGAAAATTCTGCCACCTGGGTAACCCAGGTGTACAATTAGATATTTATGAGGCTCTCCTCAGTAATCCGGGCTATAGCGCTGGGCTCCGCAAACGCCAAGCCTTGGTTTCGGGTGTGTAAGACACTTGCCAAAGGCAAACCTTTTTGAGCAGTTCAGTGGGTGGAACTGGTGTTGCTGCTTCCCTCCTTCTTCCTAATTGGTGGTGGTTGGGTTGGGAAGTGTGCGTGTGGCGGCATGCGGAGGATCTATCGGTCATGACAACCCAATATCCTTGCGGTGGGGTGTCTAACCCCACCGAAGGGATCACGCGGTAGATGTGATGGACCAACATGAGGACCATATCAGATTCCGCCAGCCGTTATTGGAATACATATCATAAGAAATGCCAAGATTTTGGGGTGCGGTGGCAGACCCGGTTGCCGGCAGACGTCAGGCACACTGGGGCCCCTGCTAATCCCCATTTTTGTTGTTGGTCAAAATCCTGGTCGTTTGCTGTGTGGACTAGGGGGTGTGCAGTGGAGGGCCAAGTTGTGGGCTCGACCGAGCCATCCACCTGCGCCCTCCTCCGCCACAGGTCTTCTTGACTGTGTCTTGACATCGGACCTAGGTGAGGGAGGAGGAAAGAGTGCGATAGATGCAGCGCACGTCTTCTACCATTATAAACTAATTCACGTACAAGTCACCCTGCCAACTCTCGCCATGCTGTGAGGCACACGGTGGACATCGTCGGCAACGATGGTCGCGCTGCCGGTTGAAGTTGGACTTCAGCGACTGCCAGTATTAAAAAGTGGGTAGCCATCAATGGCTGAATAGTTGGTAAGTATTTAAAAGAGTAAGTGAGCCTATGGATGCTAAACTTCGTACACTATACTGCCAATCATTCGACAGACGTTATAGGCCATACCACCAGCAAGCATACATATATCATATAGTCTTAACGGAGGCGAGTGGAAAGCATACTGCGCGAAAGTGTATCGCCCTGTTTTAGGGTACTGCCGGTGCACTTAGACAAATTGCAGTACAATGTGTGGTTCTGTCTAACGTTTCGTGATATCTGTAGGTTCTGAGAAGCTGCCCTTGAAGCGCTTAGCTGCAGCAGTTTGATATCTTACAGCTCTACTCTAAAATCATTAATTATTCTCGCAAAGGATGCCGCATAATCACCATACAAACTAAAATCCATAAAACTTGCTTAGGTCGTTGTGTATAGGTCCTGTGTCAACATTACGTACCCCATTTTTCTGTCTTATTTTTGGTTATTTATATACCCCATATTCCAGCAGTAGTGCTTTAACTTTCAAGTCATCGTAAGCGACTACTTCCGCCGTGTGCACTTCAGAGTGGGCGTGACACCTGTGATTTGCGTGTGAATTAGTTTACAGAGAGGAAGACTTTCGCAACATCTACCGCCTCGCTGCGGGCTGACCAACCTTACTCTAGCGGAAAACAGTGGCAAGTAGGCCGGAGGTGGTCGCGGGCACAGCAGCCGGCAAACCTACAGATATAGTCTGCGTGTGCCACACACGACCTGGCCATCACTACATGCATCAGCTCGGACGTCACATCAGTGAGAGTGCCATAAAAGCCACATGGGAAAGGACAATTGCAACGTCATAACCAGTCCTCAAGCCACTCCAAAATGGGGACTGAATTGTCCCCTCAGTCGGCAACCTTCAAAGACAAGACTCTTGGCACGTCATGCTAGCTTCAAACCCACCAGATTTATTGTTATGTGGAGTCCGCTGGTGCGTCCTGAGAATGAACTCCCCAATACCGGCCTCACTGTCTCTTCTCTCGCCAATGCATCAGTTGGTTCTTCCGTTTGAACCGCTGACTAATAGGGGATTTAATTCGGCAATATACAAAATTAGGCCTCCCATCTACGTGTACCACACACGACTCAACCCCCGTTTTTTGACCGACACACATCGAAATACATTCTTCACAACTAGGCTAAATGTGCGTCTTCTGTCAGGCACATATGGGCGATGGCAAAGAGGATCACGTGCTTGCTACAGGAGACAGGCGTGTGCTTATGGGAGCAGTATGCACCTCCGCGTTGTGGAGTAGAAACATAGATGGCCCAGGGATCTGTGCGCGAAAGGGTGAGATGCGGACTTCGGTGGATAACGGAAGATTTTAATGGTGGCACATATGGGACTGTGATGACAGACGAGGCATTAGCATCGGGTCTATGTTGGGGCTTCTGTCACTCCTTCACCGGCTTCAGTGCGATGAATTAGTGGATTACCGTTCAGTGCAATGCGAAATTAAAGTGTGCGGAGCAATACGGAGAGGATGGTACTGTTGCTACTGCACTGCTGTCAGTGACGAAGCTGTCACCTGTGGCAGCGACGCTGGTGGTGCTGGAGGCAGTGGTGATAGTGATGGTGATGGCGGTGGTGGTGATAATGGTGGTGGTGGCGGTGGTGTTGGTGGTGATGGTAGTGGTGTTTGCGGTGGTAGTGGTGTTTGTGGTGGTGGTGGTGGCGGCGGTGGTGGTGGTGGTGGTGGTGGTGGTGGTGGTGGTGGCGGCGGCGGCGGCGGTGGTGATGGTGGTGGTGGTGGTGATGGCGATAGTGGTGGCAGAGTAGGTTAAAGATGTAGGGATCGGTTTGCCGTGAAGACATTGTAGCGGATTCCACTGCCGTGGACAAAAATACGGCTAAAATATCTATGCCGTGTCTCAATATTCTGAGATATTGGCACAAGTGGGGGGTATGTGATGTGCGTATAACAATAATAATAGTATTAATAAGTGCTAATTTACAAGCATTAATAAAATAATCATAAGTCGTCAGCCGAGAAAGCATTTGGACAATTTCTCATTTGTCAGCGCAAAGTTACTTTCGTTTTGCTAAGAATGATTATTTACCAAAAAATCTGCAGCCCAGGAAATGACGACAGCTCAGAACGGGAGGTACGACGGACCTGTGTAGGCTTCGTTCATTTTCAGTAAATTAGAGCCATTTATAAGACATTGATGAACGATCAAATATTTGTTTGTCGCCAGCTGAACATTTTATCCACTCACCGGTTAGTAATAGTGACATTGCACTAGGTACACAGAGATCCAGCGAGGCCTTTCAGTGCCCGAAAAGCCTGTCGACAGTGTGGACCCGATGGCGGAAGCGAGGTGTTAGCACCAATGGTCCGTAACGCTTAAATCTTCTTTAGCAAAGGGCTTTGTGTGCCTCAAAACAATTTAATGAAAAAAAAATAACCACACCAAACGTATGCAGTACTACCCTCACAAATTGCCGTCACAACATTTCATAAGTTACAGTAGGTGGGCTAACTCATGAAATGTCAACCGAAATTCCGAAATACGTTTTCGGCTCGAAAAGACTAATTAAGTGGGGTTGTAAAACCAGTCAGTCCGCAACAGGATTCTATAATATTTCAGTTACGTCAGAATGCCGGCTTTTAAATGAACTTCCTTCCACCTGCATGCAACAACTACACTCTGTAGAAAACGACTGTTTAAGTAGAATGCATTTTTTCATTGATTTTCGATGCCCCTAAAAGTCCAATTATATTTCATGGAAAACATGCATAAAAATATTCATTCTTTTGCTCATTCGGCAGACAATTACGTCTTCTTTCAATCTTATACTCGAAGAAAGGGCATAATTGGGCTTTTAAAATTTTTTCCAATCCCCGAATAATTTTGAACCCGCTCTACCGTTACACTTGGATTCAGGGTTTCCAAACTACAAGCCGTATATTTTCCGAGTGCGGAAAACCGTACATTTCTCTACGGTAATAGAGGGAGGCCATATAGGGTTCATGAAATTTAGCACTGGATCTGATCCATATTGTTAACTTTACAAGCCACGTTGGTAAATGCAGAGATTTGACGACATATGGACGGCCATTTCACGGGTATTAAAAGTCCCACAATTGGAAACTTTTTAAAAACCGAATTATGTCCCTCTTTCGAGTATAAAATAAGAAGAAGACGTAACTGTTTACTGAATGAGTAGAAGAATGAATATTTCGTGCTTGTTTTCCATGAAATATAATTAGGCTTTTAAGGGCATCGAAAATCAATGAGAAAAATTCATGATACTTATGCAGTCGTTTTTACAGAGTGTATTTTTTTGCATGCAGCCGGAAGGAAGTTTATTTGAAAGCCGGCATCCTGACGTGACTGAAATGTTATAGAATTATGTTGCGGGCTGACCAGTCTTTTAACCCTACTTGATTAACCTTTTCGAAACGAAAACGTATTTAGGAGTTTCGGTCGACATTTCATAAGTTAGCCCACCTACGGTAGGTCAGCTACTATACATGTTGATTTAGGCTTCATTTAGCTCAGAGGTGAGTGTATCTCCCCAATCGTTTGGCTCTCCCCGAGGTCTGTATATCAAAGCAATACAAAGATACGGTTGGTTTGATACTTTCTAGTAAAAACTACTAATTTCACGACCAGTGCTCTCCTTTGGAGGAAGCTTATCCCTGACAAATGCAAGAAGAGTTTGACAATATCTCGCTTCCTCCGATCCCTTCGTCTTTTGGGATCCATTCAGATAATCTGCAAGCCATCCAGCATGAGGTCAGCGTCTCCTATCTTGACGGTTAACAATGTTTCAATTAAAACTATAAAGCTTAGTTGGAAATGCATTAGTCAGTTTAGTTCTAAATAATTTGTGAAATAGACGCTGCACATTCGCGTAAAACATTATCGCACTGTTTTGTTCTTTTTATCTTCGGAATGACTTATTAGTGCTTGCGTCTGACAACTGCCACTGGATATTTCTTGTGATTTATCCAGCCTTTCGTAGAAATTCGAGACTACGTTTGGTTGATTAAACTGATTTTTGTTGGAATTACTGTCAGTTTCACCGGATAATTCCACAGGAATGATCAGTAAATTTTTGTATTTTCTTAGCCACTGTTCTCATATATATTTCGTCATTACTCTAATGCCTTCTTCAGACTGCTCACAGAAGTCCCCCTTTCCTCTAATCTTTGGGGACGAAATCTGACTACAAAATTTTCCCGGACGATTTTTTTGCAGTCTGAGATCTAGAAACAAGATGCGATCGTCTGCTATTTTCCTTTCATGACGACTTCGTAGGTTTCTGTTGCACCTCTTCTGCGCTATCGGTAAGTTAATGTCCAAAACGGAAAAGCCTTTATATTTTAGCTATCTCACCGAGTTCCTATATATCGTTTAACATATTAAGCCATCTTATAAATAGCAGAGCCAGCATTCCGTAAGATAATATCCGATGTATTTTGCGTAGTTCTGACGTGGTCAAAATTATTTAGACAAAAGTGAAGGCGGAGAACTGGGTTTTAGTTCACTATTTTTGGGGGATAATTGCTAACAAATGCATAACAATTGGTATACGGATAGCCAAAAGCAGGCGTTTAGACGTACCTAAAAGACTTGGGGATACACTTTTTAGAAATCGGAATATTATGAAGTTTTAAACAGTGAGAAGCTGGTTGGCAAGTAAATGTAGTGGAGGTAGGCTAAGGGCAAAATAGATGCTAGGAGGGTAGATTTAAGAATTAACTAATGAGTAGCTCAAAAAGGAATGGGGTCCAAGTTGTTTGGAAGATCGGTGTAAGACTCACTGACATGATATGTAGTAGGGCTTTGCTTGTACCAGCTGTGCCAAACAATGGGCTTATAGGCGACTTCGGTTGCAAATGCTTTGTAAATCAACAGGGAGACTGTGCGCCGATAAGTGACAATAAATTCCCATTCTTTTGGCGTAAGATCAGATTCCGTTTTTAAATCAAGCTGTTCTGAGCGTATAGCTGAGAATATATAGCAGGAAAGCATGGACAACAACGTTGGAGCAGAGAAGTTGTCGTTCTAACTTATTTAGACATGACAGTGGACGTTATGGTTGGGCCTACGAGAGAGTCAGAAGCGACTTATGTGGGAGCTCTCAGTTTAGATGCAACGACGGTGTTAAAGAGTGGCTTGAGTTAGGAAATTGAGAAATTATGAAAATCACTGAACAGGATTTTTGAGGAGTACGATTAACTGATTATTCGGGATCAATAATACTATATTCAGGCCTGTTTGTAGTTGATTGAGAAGGTGAGAATACATTTGACAGAAAGGACGCAATTAATTTTTCTGTAGGGGAAAGTCGTGACGGATGAAAAATTTGTCCTTTCCAGATAAATGGAATTTCGTTTGCAACTATCGATAATTAAGTCAACCCCAACTTCTGACAGACCGGGACAAAATTAAATCAATTTATGCCAAACGAGTAAAGTCGTTACAGTCCTGCTACTTTTACCTGGAACCGCACGAGTTGTGAAATTGTATTTCAACTTCGGTTGGTTGTATGGCATTAGGGACGGTTTTATTTTTTTTAAAAAAGCAAATCCTTTTTCGTCTGTCACAGGCCTCATTACTAATCAGGGGAACGGCCGAAGAAAGAAGTTCATAGTCCTGAGAGGGAATGTCATAAACAATATTTTCGAAAAGTTGGCCAAGATCGGGAAAAAATGATCCCACCTTCGACTTAAAATCCCTACGTCTACGGAACGCGGCTAGATTTAGCAGCTTAGCAATAAAAACGGGTCGAGGTTGACTGGTGTCGAACCCACAGAATTCATCGTCCATTGTGATGAAGTTCGTGGTCTTTAGCATCTTCATCTGGTCTAATCCCAAAAGAACGTTTCTGACTCCACAGTCTGTCCTCCGAGAGGTAAAATTTCTGGTCCAGCATGGAGAAACTGCCCGACTCTCCACTGACCATCCGACTCAAATTTCTCATCTTAGAGAACTGAATGGAGACTACAACATCCTGCTAATCTGGATGTCAGGGATTTCTGCTTTGAGTGGTGGTATTTTTCCGAGCCGCAATTTTTTCTCCTTGCTAACTGCTATCAGCAGGTACATTACTATTATCCAAAACAAAATTTATTCGCAATACCATAGCGAGAATTTCAACATTCTCAGGACATCGATTAGTAATCGATGCACTGCACGCGATCGGAATACTCATTCGAACAGATGCTATTCCAGTTGGTTACTGACGAATTCCTTACTAGACATGCTTCAACGGACACCCGATTCCGAAGTGGACATCAGTCAAGCTGTTTGGATCTCATCATTACCAGGGATGAAAACTATGTCTTTGAATTGACTTCTACCACGCCCCTAAGTCGAAGTAATCATTGCGTTCTTATTTGGTGGTACAGTCATTTTTCTGTACCGACAATTCGAACCGGAATGGAGAGAAATGTATGGAGAGGAAATTATTCCAAAATGAAAGAACTGTTGACTGCGATAGAAAGGAACCCTGCGCATGTATCTGACCTGAACGCCGCCTAGGTTTTCCTCAAGGACGTGATTCGGTACTTGGTAGAAAACTGCTGTCCTCTTAAAAGGAGATCGCGTGTCTCTTAACCAGAGTGAGTGAAATCGGAATTAAAAAGAACCAAAGAAGTCAATGGAGACTGCAGAACAGATACGCCACAGCAAAATCGGTGTCGGCGTCTTCTGAGAAGAGAACGAGTCGCATTTCAGTCAAAAATAGTCAAAGAAATACCGAAAAGTCCGAAAACGTTCTTCTCCTCCGGGAATAGAGCCAAACGTAATCGGGACTCCATTTCTTGTCTCAAGAATTACCAGGGAAATAAGCTGACCGATAACTCCGATGAAACGAGACGTTTATCTGATTTCTTCATGTCCGTTTATGCCGAGGAGCCATCCTTTGATGGGAAAATATGCCGGCAAATAGCCCCACCATATGTTGAGAAGGTGATACCGACATATATCACTAGTCGCTGTGCGACTGCCTGCGACGGTTTAAGTATGAGCCCCAAGGCACAACGGAACAAGCATGTTCCGTAACCTGATCGGTGAGCGCCCACTATCATAATTAATATTCCCGATCACAACCGACAGGACAACGGGCCCGTGGCTCAATGGTAGAGC